TTTCTGGAATCGTATGTAGCAAAGTTTACAGAAAATTTCACATTTATTGCATACCTTATTTGATTGGTAGTATTTAAATTGTTTAGAGAATTCAGTTGAATAATGATAGTTAAAAGTTCACCACGTCTTTAACACAGCCAAGGGCTGGTCTCTCGAGGACTGCGTCAGCTTGAATACGCCTGTAAGACCAAATACTAATTGACCAAAAGGAATCTGCCGTCGTAATACGATAAAACAAACCTACGAATCCTTTTGTCGCACACTTGCTCTTAACTGATAGTCAATTCAAAATTATTATTTGCATTATTTATGCTTTCTTATAGGCCCTAAAAAAAGCTCTACCAAGAAGAGGATGAGTGTCGCCGCTGCTATGCGACTGCAGGAGCACGCAACGGTGGCTGCAGCAACAGTGGTTGCCATGGATGATGCTCCTTTATATCATCAGCATCATTATCAAGCACAGGTGTCAAACTCACCAGGTTCAGGTGGTATTAAGCAAAAACGTCAACTCAGTAAATCCCAATCTGGAGCCGAGGCGCCCAACTCTCCTGTACCCTCGACTGAAATAGCGCCGGTTGGAAGTTCGTCAATTACTTTCAAGACTTTAGCTTAAGCTTTATTTTTTTCCCATTTTCTCTACACTCATTAACAACTGTCCGGAACCTTCATATATTCGTATTTTTTAATATATATGTCTTCTTGGATCACATTTCCTTAAGCTTTCAGAACAATTTGAAAGCCACCAGATCGACATCTGTATATCAGGCATCACCTGTTTTCGATAACTTTTTTCATATAAGGCTACTTATTCGTCGAAGTCTGGCAACAATTTAACTGAATATTTTAGTTAACTCTTTTTCAAAATCACTGATTCAACTTCTTTGTAGCCCTAACTCTCTCAGGGTTCAAACGACTGATTCATCAACCGCATACAAACGCGCACACACAACCCATTAGTCGGGATGTCCCTTAACTCTATTGTTGGCCAGCCTTTCATCCATTAACCTCCGGAACTGTTTGCCTGGACATTACCAGGTCGAAAGCCAATTGATGTTTTTTTCCTTTTTTGCATCTGCTTCTTTCTTTTGCCTCAAAAACAAATAAGCCATTGTAATTCCATTTAGGTCCTTTAGACAAAAATTGATCAGAGTACAGAGTTCATCTGAATAACTGCCTCTACTTGAATAAACAAAACTCTGTTTATGATGAGACCTTCATCAGTGTTCTAAGGCGTCAGACCATCAGCTTAAACTTCCACAGTTCTGATACCAGCCGTTGCGATAAGCTACTAAATGAAAATAGTTTGTCACTGCAAGACTGCTCTTGAATATGCCTCTTGTCAGGTAAATGGATATTCACTTGGTTGCAATTCATTTGAACTTATGGCGAACATTCAAGAGCATAGGCTACTGAGCAACTTCTATGCCGAGTCTGGAAGATGGAAAGTAAATGAGATTCTCCACTGTAATTTAAATCACCTAAAACGTCTCTCTGTTCTGCACATCTTAGGAGGGTAATAGATAAGATCTAGGATGGTCCAAGTTATGTAGGGTATCATAGTGGAGATAAGAATTTCACATTTTATCACTGCTCATATTATAGCAGATGTACACGAATGTGAGTAATATAATTAAAATTCAGATCTGTTTGAGGCAGCCTGATAGGTGAAAGATATAAATATAAATATGGTAATGTCTCATATAGCAAAATCTTCATTTATATTTGGAAAAGGCTTCAGAAGTAGAGTAATAATCTTTTATGTCAAGTGAGGAAAAATAATTTTTTTTCTAAGGGCTATTTGCCATTAGAAATTGTATTCTAAGACGTATCGTTCATAAAGAACGCGAGCTATGTTATATTTTAACATCTTAAAAACGCAATTCAGCTTCAGTTTTTATATCCTCTAAGAATATGTAGCAGTATAGATTAAACTCAGAACTTAGCAATATCTTTCTTAAATACTATCGAGTATATAAAAACATTCCCGTAATCATACACTTCTCTTATCGAAATTGTACCCAGAATATGTCCTCCATTTATCCACGTAGTAGCGAATAAATGAAAAATTGTCTGCTTGTTCGTTAATTTTTACACTTTATTATCCTTATGCCTTCCCTCATATCATCTCAAGAATGGCTATAAAACATTTAAAATTACTATGCTGCATTGCCGCAAAAGAAGCTAATCAACTTATCTTACGAATCCAAGAATTCATACCAACAAAGTATTATTGTGTTTCGAAATTCTCAAATCTACAAGGCATCAAAGGCCTATGCGAGCTTCTATGCTTTATTTTAAATAAACTGTCTTTTTACTTCTATTTTATCAAACAAGCATCACACTGGTTCGTTTTTCTTCACGCCTATAGTTAGACAACTCATGTATCGACTCCATTCTAGTTGCTTTCGATGCTATGCATAAAAAATAGAGCTGGTATCAGTTTATGCTTCTTTTCCCTTGTTACAACGCGTAACTATTACTGAAGAGCATTTCTCA